AGTAGATTTTTTATCAAGATTTCTATAAAATAACTTTATGCCTCCAACCACGGCTATAATCGATATTAAAAGAAAATCAAAATTAAGAACGAGAAAATTTATCAGATGACTTGTTCTAGTCTGCCAATGATGGCATGACGAATGGTTTCAGTTCCTCTCTCAATCGAGATTAGTTCTGTTTTCTAGGAGTACACGTTGAACCGAACCGATCGGACTACATGCTTTCCCGCCTTTCTAATGGTTGAGATGGTGGTTGTGGTGCCTTTAGAGCTGTCGTCTTTGTTTCTTCAGACATGACACACTTTGTGTTCTGAAAAGGCTGGGTTAAAACCCCATCTGTTTGTCTGACGGGTGTAACACAAACGCGTCAGAGTTAGGTTTCTGAAAATACCACTAGCCAAATCTCCATGTGAGGAACATGTAGATCATTTGGCCGTGTGAGCAACATGGAATCATCGAGGTTTAAATCCCAGAGAGTTATAGAGAGTCACGTTGATGGACTTCATACAAGTCACGTTGCTGGACTTCACGTTGGAGCAACGACCTGTCAAACTTCGTGGCTGTAAAGGGATTACAAGTCACGTTGTTGGAATGGGGACTTGGAGATTTAAAGTGCTGTGACTTTTGTGTTTCTCCGATTCCCACAGACGGCGCCAACTGTTGATACAAAAATCTACACGCTCCGAAGCCCGTGGCGATTCCTACAATACAAAAGAAGTGACGACTGGCGTAGTGCCGGCTGGGTGCACTCCAACGGTCAAGTTAGTACCCGACAATTGAATATCCTATAAAAGATTAAATATCAGATTTCTTTTTCTCCCTTTCAAGTCGATTATTTACCTTCTTATAGGAGATGGTAACTGTCGTTACATATAGTAACCGTCGTTACATATGGTAACCGTTAGAGAGATTTTTTGTGATTCCACCGAGATTTTGGGGAGGATAAATCCCTTACCCTTATCTCAGGAGAATAAATCCCTTACCCTTATCTCATTTGAATTTGAGTTGCTTATTATCCATATTCAAACTGCTTATTATTTTTATCCTTATCATTATACATATTATAATCTTTCAAAAAAAAAAAAAAAAAATCATAAAAATTATATATATATATATAATTGTAAGGATATATATATGTATATATATATATATATATATATATATATATATATATATAAGAATAATTTTGCATTATTTTTTTATTAAACATGAATAATATTATAAAATATTATTTATTTAAATAACTAACATTATAAAAAAATTAAAATAAATTATAAAAAAATTAATATAAAAATAATTTTGTATATAGAATTCCTAATTTAGGATTTTTTTTTTTTGTATACGTTGTTATGTAGTTATTGAAATAAAATATTTTATTGAATTTCGATCGATATTTACTAGGGTGACAAGACAACCAGTTTAATAATCGTCCCGTCTGTTTATTAGACACCATTCTTGTTAGTCCCGAGCCCAATAAGGAAAGGGGTCATTTATAACAAAGTTTTTGTGTTGTTGATTCCTAGGTATAGTGCTTCTTCCCCTATGCCGCCTATTGGTACTAGTGGAGGAGGATTAACTTGTAATACAGAACCTCTAGGTGTAACCTTGCACTCAATACTAGAATCGACACGAATGAATATGAATAGGCTATTATGAGTTCAAGCAAGCCACTATGGTGAAATCGGTAGACACGCTGCTCTTATGAAGCAGTGCTAGAGCATCTCGGTTCGAGTTCAAGTGGCGGCATGCCATCTTGTAAAAAAGATACAATAGATCCTATAATGAACTCAATTCCTGATTTCCCTTCCGTAATTAAGGGATTCCTCTTTTTTTTTTTTTAGATTTTTTATGATATTTTCAACTTTAAAGCATATATTAACTCATATTGCTGCTCAATACCTTAGTGGATCAACTCTATTACATAAGTCGATTCCTAACTTTTATCTCATATCATGATATAAGTAAGCAGTTATTATTGTATTAGCCCCAAACCTCGTTAATTGATCTTTACGGTGCTTCCTCTATCAATTAGATCCTTTATCCATAGAATAAAGTAGCTAGGCATATCTATTTCTTCATAATATGATAAAATATGATAAAGTAGTTAAAATGAATGAACACATTCAATTCAAAAAGATTTATTCTTTTTTCCCAATTCTTTTTTTTCTTACGACACGACAATCAAATCTGGATTCGCATATTTTTCGAACAAAACATCAATCCGCTTTTGAGGTTCGGATTGGAATTGAATTTGAACTCAATTGAAGAAAGAGTAAGCCTATTTATTTTTGGTTTTAAGACCAGTAGTTCTAACGGTCGACTCAGTTCAGGAAATGACCTTAAAAGAATCATTCTCAACCCTCATTACCGGGGTTCTTGTTGAAGACCTGGAACCCAAAACCTGCCCCAAAGCTACTGTTGGAGCTGTTATCGGAGGAGGTTTCGGAACTGTAAAAGAACTCCGAAGCTGCGGAGCACCCGACCCCTCAAGAACTTGTATATACAGCGACCTTCTTACCGATTTATCT